GAGCTGAAGAACAACAGCTACAAGTTGGCCCGATGGACCTGCTGTGCTCTGCTGGCCGGGTCCGAGTACCTCAAGCTTGGGTGAGAGTCCTGTCCAGGAGCTGTGAACTGATCTTCTCAATGGAGGGGTCTGGGTAGGGAGGTGAAGGTTTGACTTTTAATTTTTCCTTTGGAAAAAGCCGTGGACCGGGTATCACCATTTAATTGGCACTGGTCCCAAGTGTTGCTCTCTCTCTTTGCTGCCCTGCTCCAACCACTAATATCCCTTCCTCCCCACTAGTTACGTGTCTCGGTACCATGTGAAAGACTCCTCGCGCCACGTCATCCTGGGCACCCAACAGTTCAAGCCCAATGAGTTTGCCAGCCAGATCAACCTGAGTGTAGAGAACGCCTGGGGCATTCTGCGCTGTGTCATTGACATCTGCATGAAGCTGGAAGAAGGCAAATACCTCATCCTCAAGGACCCCAACAAGCAGGTCATCCGTGTCTACAGCCTGCCTGATGGCACCTTCAGCTCTGATGAAGACGATGAGGATGAGGAGGAAGAGGAAGAAGAAGAAGAAGGTGTGTAGCCGGCCTCTCTTTCTAGAGTGATCTGCGGGCTGGCAAGGGAGCAAGCTCTATACCTACTGTCATCTTTATCCTTGGTAAAAATTTTTGAGAGTTCCCTGAGATGTAAGGTTGGAGAAGCCATTCACTGGCTCCAAGATCTTCCAGAGCCTTTAGGTCACATGAAGGGCTTGGAGAGGAGAGTGGTCTTTTAGAGAAGTGTCTAGATTGAGGCCAAAGAATCTGGAGAAGGACAGTGAAAATCCCTGGGGGTAGCCCGTGGTGCTCCGGGATAATTGCACAACCTGAGAGCTGTCTCTCCTGCTCTGCCGGCGGGTCGCTGAAGGAACTGTCAGCCCTCTGAGGATCTGAAAGGCTTAACTTTGGAGTGGAGGTGTTGAAAACTCATAAGCAGTTCACCAGAGGTTCAGAAAGGACAGTAGACATCACATCACACAACATGACTCATTTCTTTTCACATTTTTTTGTCTTTCAGAGGAAGAAACTTAATCCAGACAGCGATGTGGAGCTGGAGTTTGTAATTCCACCGAGCCTAGGAGGGCCTCTGATGCTTAGTGGAATGTTTGACTCTTGCTGACATTTGACAGAAAGAATAAAGTTCAAGTCTGTTTAGTGTCTTTCCTTCATCATATGCTTCCATTAATGATTTACAGAGCCTAGGAGGGCCTCTGATGCTTAGTGGAATGTTTGACTCTTGCTGACATTTGACAGAAGGAATAAAGTTCAAGTCTGTTTAGTGTCTTTCCTTCATCATATGCTTCCATTAATGATTTACAGCCCCTTTCTTCTCCAAGTAGCCCTGGGAGAGGGAGGATGAGGTTCAGCAGTTTCTGTCTAGAGTTCATAATCTGGGTTCCCCCATTTGATCCTGAGAATTGTTAGCCTTACATGCCTGTTAGAGGGTGGAATGCCCAAGATATTTTTGTTCTTGGAACCCCCTGAAGTTGTCCTTTCATGGGTCGTGTTGTCAGTTGTGAGGTACCTTATGGAGGTCCTCATAATAAGGCCATTTCCACAAGCATGAGCACCTGCTGGCTGTGTGCAGGACCCAGCTGTTCCCTGAACTCACTGTCTGCGAGAAGTGTCAGGACACAGATCACTAGTAAAAAGCCAAGCAGGGACTGGTTGAGGTGGGCTGCTCATAAAGAAGACTACCTTAGAAGATTTTGGTTGATGTTCTACTAGGTGGTGATTGTAATGATTTGTAAATTGTCTTCAAGCTTGGCTTGGACTGGTGACAATCCCATGCTAGCACCCACAAAGCAATGTGTCATGTGTGATGTTCAGGATATGTAAACTAGTTTTATAAGTGGATACTATTCAGTTCTGGACACTTTATGAAGTAATTACCCTGCCAGGTATTACACTAAGCTTTCTAAAAATATCTGAGCCTCCTAGAGCACTATAATGCCAGTGGAAACAATACCATTTGATAAGAAACAGGCTTGGCTTTTGAGTAGCATTCCTAAAGTTACAATTTTAATGAAAATAATTAAGCCTCAGAAAGCAAGGAAAAAACCTATTGAAATTTGTCAGAGGTACTGGAAAGAGCAGAAAATGTGCTTGGGGAGTTTTTAATGTGGATAGACTTAGATAACACATTAAAGTGCTGTGACAAGCCCCATGGGGTTTTAAGGTTGGACCAGTAGTCACCAAATTGCCTCTTGCAAACCCATGGTCTGATCCAGCAGGATCAACTAGAGCAAGTGGGCAAGTGAAAGTCACCTTCAGGCTCATTCTCTGAAGATATTTTGCATCAGCTTCTGCTTCCTTCATGGGACTACCAAGTTGATGGCTGAAAACAATCCTGTACTCAAAAACCACAGCATCCTACTTCCTAATCAAGTGCCCGGGCCCTGCCATATCTTACCAATCCTTGTTTCCCACTACTCACCAAATGGGACCAGCAGCTATTTTAGGTACCTGATTATTTGGCAGCACCCATTCTCATAATCTTCACATCCACTAAGAAATCAACATCCCTACTTCATTTTTGGCAAAGTAGTTTGCCCTGCCTGTTTGGTTCTATTATTTATTCAACAAATGCTTACTGAGAAACTTCTGTATGCCAGATTCTGGAGAGAGCACTGGGATCACCAGTGAATATAAAAGACAATTCCTGCTCTAAGAGAGCGTTTCTCTGATGTTGATACTGGCTGTGAAGAAAATGGATATACAGCATTCCTCAGTGCTTACTTGGCATATGAGATCAGGGATGTTTTTCCTAGAGAGGTCCCAGCTATGCTTTTTAATGAAAAGAAGTTCCAGCCATGCAAAGCTGAAAGACCACACAGTTTTTTCCACGCTGCTTGCTCACAGGAAAACTTGGCCCCATTTCACTGTAGTACGTAACGCCCTTTGAAAGTTTCTGCACTATTTCCCTCATAAATGCACTATATTCTGCCCATGTAAATCTCACGCAGGGGCCATGTGCCACCCCTGTGAAGCCAGCCCTGATCATCCAGTCCACATCTTCTCCCTCCTTCCATTCATGTTGTCTCCACTCGGTTTAATTCCAGGCTCCACTTCTTAACTGTGATCTTAAGCAAATCACTTCGCCTGCAAGCCTCCATTTGGCCAGTCAGCCACAAAATGTTGGGAACAGAATCCCTCGCTCAAGTCTCCCAGGTGGTGGAAGATAGCTGTGTATGTGACTTAGCAAACGGAGCAGTGAATCAATGTGCCAAACGCTTGTGAATTGGTCGATCTGTCCTGGCTTCACCACCCTGGCTTCCAGTCCCATCATACTAGGTAGGCCAACTAGTTTACGTCTGGCTACACTAACGAGGAATGTAAGAGCTGGGATGATCTCCAAAACTCATGGGCTCCCACGCCTCACCAACATGCGGACAGGCACGGTTTAAAAAGAAGGGTCCCGTGCCCATCCGGGATCCGTTCTCCAAGCCCTGTTCCCAGCTCCCGGAGCAGCGCGCGCAGCACGTGCGCCTCTCCCGCGCCGCCGCCGGGGCCCCCCGCGGGCCGG